TGCACACATGTGGCCAACATAAGAAAAAAATGAATAATAAAAAATCCATTATTTGGTGTTAAAGCTCATCACAAATACTTGTACATGTAGCTGAATAATAAATTAAGCATTTCTTTCACTATATTATGTTATACATGCAAGCCCTGAATTAAGTATAAAGGTGAATTTATCCTTTAACAGTTCTGACATTTTTTTTATATTGACCTTTCTATATTGGAGTTGAGGGATCCAACACAAATAAGGTGGTGTTACATAAAACTTATGCATTTTTTTTCATTTCAGTTCAATTAAACAGATGACTTGATTGTGCTTACCCGGTACATATATAATTGATAGTTGCTTTACTATTTATAAAAATGACCATCAATGAAGAGGATTGTCAACATGTGTAAGTTTACATTTTTACAAATAAAAGTGTGTGGTCATATTATAAACCCAATTTTATATACAGCTATATTGAATTCAACTGGTCTGTTCAACCTTAATGTCACACTTTTCTCATAAACAACATGTGTATGGAGCTTCATATAAGGCAAGCATCTAATTAACAATATTGAGTTGTCACATGTGATCACTTTTCTGGTCAGTCGAATACCCACTTCCTGTTTGCCAATACTTTTTGATTGGACAACCAGGGTAATCTTTAGAATGACAACAGAAATAACAACTAAATGTTTCTCCAGAATAGTTTAGAACTGAGTAAATTATTAATAAACAGCAACCCCAAAACAGTACAATAATTGTAGGTGCGAGTGTTGAACATGGTTAGAACACTCAAAATGAAATACAATAACTCAAAGTTTGCCTTGAAATATGTTCAAACTATATCAGTTTTGCACGTGTGCATATGTATCTAAGCTTAGGTCCGAGTACACAGTTATTTCGTAGTGCATTTCTTTTAGACAATAAATGAAAATTAAAAAAATCCCACCTGCGCTTTCTCAATAATATTTTTACAGTGTGTTGTACTACTTTTGGGACAAATTATATCAAAATTATAGAAAACTTCATCGGCTCTAACTCAAAATATGGACAATTTCATGTTAAGGGGGTCTTCAAATCTTTTGACAGCTTCCGAAGTGCTAATTTTTAACATTTTTCAGCTGGACCAAATCACTACTTTACTTTGAAATTTATGACCCAAATTTTTTTACAGTTTCATTTCATCCCCCTACTTGCTATTTGAGTCATAAAACATGGAGAAATAAATTTGGAAGGGGTATAAAAAAAATTGGCAAGTAACACACTGTCCACACTAGGGACTATATTCGTGGACAACAAAAATCAAAGGACGATAACTGTGTACTCGGACCTAATAGGGTAGAAAAAATTGACCAATCTTTATGAAACTTGGTATGACCAAAGCTTAATAAATTATAAGACTGCTTACAAAGTTTCATGGCAATAGGATATATTTTATAGACAATATGAATAATTCTATATTCTACTTTGCGTGTTAAATTTAGACGTTAAAATTGAAATATTTCAACTATCAACATTTGGGGCTTAAAAAATTAAAATATTGCAAAAAAATACTTTTGAAATGCCTTAATATATAATATTTTATGTATTAAAAGTAATAGAGTACTCATTTGATTTATCAGACTTATCACAATTATTTAAAAGTCAAGACTTTAGTTCCTAGATGTACTTGCAAAACTGGTCAAAGCAATCACAGAAAACAATTCATATTTATTAAGCATAGTATTTTACACCATTCTTTTAAAAACAGTCAAAGTGCAACTTTATATACCAAACATACATTGGCCGCAGTATGGGCTGTAGTATAAGTTTTCCGCTATCTTTACAAGTTCAGCCTTTGTGAATGTTGTATTGAAACTGGAACTTGAAAATTGGATACATTTCATGATTAATACAAAAAAAGTAGGAAAAGAAGTTAAAAAGTCCCTTATAGGAAAATATGCACTCTGTCACTGTACTTATTCAAGGCCACACAATAATCACAAAACATTTCCTGTAAATATTAATGCAATGGAAGCCTTTTGGAACCACTTAAAGTTGTTTTTATACAAATTTCTATGTTTAACTGCGGCAATCCAGAATGCACGGAGTGTACTGTGGTAGGAAGCATGGGCATATGGTAAAAAATCAGTTTTGTGTCCAGATTGAAAGAAACAATAGAAATTACACTTGAGAGTTATGATATTAATGAAAGGCATAAATATTCTCCCCATTTTACATCACATTTTCCACATTTTTCTCCCTTTGACATATTGTATTTTTTTAGCTGTGTTCCCCATGTTAAGTTGTAGATCAAGTTGTAAATAAGCACTTTTCAAGTATTTTAACACTCGAATAATCTGACCGTATGAAGATATTCATTTATTTTTACATAATTCATTGCGTTTCTTTAAGTAAAAAAAAATACTAGACAACTTTTCATGATTACATACCCTTCATCTATAAAACTAGTGTTGAAATGTTTGTAATTGGATTGCTATGTTAAATAATTGCTTTTAAATATTCTAAATTGTTACTTTTATGTTCCAAATGCAAAGATTGGTCATAACCAGTCTTATTTTTTTCATATTTGGCACTTTTTTCTACTTCAGTTTTGGCCGTCTTAGTTTTGGCGAAGAAACCATCCTGATGTTGGGGTAACAGGAATTTCTGCAGAGTGGTTGTCAATGACATTTTGTGTACTTTACAAGTAATTAAAACACAGATTTAGTAAAATGAAACATAATTGTTGTTTTTTATGGTATGAAACTGCTTAAAAAGCCTTTGAAAAGTCTTTTTGTGGTATTTTTCAGGGTATTTAATTAAAAACTTCCATATAATGCAAAATTTAACTAAGAGTACATCAAGACTTTAGTTCCTAGATGTACTTGCAATACTGGTCAAAGCAATCACAGAAAACAATTCATATTTATTAAGCATAGCATTTTACACCATTCTTTTAAAAACAGTCAAAGTGCAACTTTATATACCAAATATACATTGGCCGCAGTATGGGCTGTAGTATAAGTTTTCCGCTATCTTTACAAGTTCAGCCTTTGTGAATGTTGTATTGAAACTGGAACTTGAAAATTGGATACATTTCATGATTAATACAAAAAAAGTAGGAAAAGAAGTTAAAAAGTCCCTTATAGGAAAATATGCACTCTGTCACTGTACTTATTCAAGGCCACACAATAATCACAAAACATTTCCTGTAAATATTAATGCAATGGAAGCCTTTTGGAACCACTTAAAGTTGTTTTTATACAAATTTCTATGTTTAACAGCGGCAATCCAGAATGCACGGAGTGTACTGTGGTAGGAAGCATGGGCATATGGTAAAAAATCAGTTTTGTGTCCAGATTGAAAGAAACAATAGAAATTACACTTGAGAGTTATGATATTAATGAAAGGCATAAATATTCTCCCCATTTTACATCACATTTTCCACATTTTTCTCCCTTTGACATATTGTATTTTTTTAGCTGTGTTCCCCATGTTAAGTTGTAGATCAAGTTGTAAATAAGCACTTTTCAAGTATTTTAACACTCGAATAATCTGACCGTATGAAGATATTCATTTATTTTTACATAATTCATTGCGTTTCTTTAAGTAAAAAAAAATACTAGACAACTTTTCATGATTACATACCCTTCATCTATAAAACTAGTGTTGAAATGTTTGTAATTGGATTGCTATGTTAAATAATTGCTTTTAAATATTCTAAATTGTTACTTTTATGTTCCAAATGCAAAGATTGGTCATAACCAGTCTTATTTTTTTCATATTTGGCACTTTTTTCTACTTCAGTTTTGGCCGTCTTAGTTTTGGCGAAGAAACCATCCTGATGTTGGGGTAACAGGAATTTCTGCAGAGTGGTTGTCAATGACATTTTGTGTACTTTACAAGTAATTAAAACACAGATTTAGTAAAATGAAACATAATTGTTGTTTTTTATGGTATGAAACTGCTTAAAAAGCCTTTGAAAAGTCTTTTTGTGGTATTTTTCAGGGTATTTAATTAAAAACTTCCATATAAGGCAAAATTTAACTAAGAGTACATCAAGGCTTTAGTTCCTAGATGTTCTTGCAATACTGGTCAAAGCAATCACAGAAAACAATTCATATTTATTAAGCATAGTATTTTACACCATTCTTTTAAAAACAGTCAAAGTGCAACTTTATATACCAAATATACATTGGCCAAAGTATAGGCTGAAGTATAAATTTTCCGCTATCTTTACAAGTTCAGCCTTTGTGAATGTTGTATTGAAACTGGAACTTGAAAATTAGATACATTTCATGATTAATACAAAAAAAGTAGGAAAAGAAGTTAAAAAGTCCCTTATAGGAAAATATGCACTCTGTCACTGTACTTATTCAAGGCCACACAATAATCACAAAACATTTCCTGTAAATATTAATGCAATGGAAGCCTTTTGGAATCACTTAAAGTTGTTTTTATACAAATTTCTATGTTTAACAGCGGCAATCCAGAATGCACTGAGTGTACTGTGGTAGGAAGCATGGGCATATGGTAAAAAATCAGTTTTGTGTCCAGATTGAAAGAAACAATAGAAATTACACTTGAGAGTTATGATATTAATGAAAGGCATAAATATTCTCCCCATTTTACATCACATTTTGCACATTTTTCTCCCTTTGACATATTGTATTTTTTTAGCTGTGTTCCCCATGTTAAGTTGTAGATCAAGTTGTAAATAAGCACTTTTCAAGTATTTTAACACTCGAATAATCTGACCGTATGAAGATATTCATTTATTTTTACATATTCATTGCGTTTCTTTAAGAAAAAAAAAATACTAGACAACTTTTCATGATTACATACCCTTCATCTATAAAACTAGTGTTGAAATGTTTGTAATTGGATTGCTATGTTAAATAATTGCTTTTAAATATTCTAAATTGTTACTTTTATGTTCCAAATGCAAAGATTGGTCATAACCAGTCTTATTTTTTTCATATTTGGCACTTTTTTCCACTTCAGTTTTGGCGAAGAAACCATCCTGATGTTGGGGTAGCAGGAATTTCTTCAGAGTGGTTGTCAATGACATTATGTGAACTTTACAAGTAATTAAAACACAGATTTAGTAAAATGAAACATAATTGTTGTTTTTTATGGTATGAAACTGCTTAAAAAGCCTTTGAAAAGTCTTTTTGTGGTATTTTTCAGGGTATTTAATTAAAAACTTCCATATAAGGCAAAATTTAACTAAGAGTACATCAAGACTTTAGTTCCTAGATGTACTTGCAATACTGGTCAAAGCAATCACAGAAAACAATTCATATTTATTAAGCATAGTATTTTACACCATTCTTTTAAAAACAGTCAAAGTGCAACTTTATATACCAAATATACATTCAGCAATTTTTATGTTTATAAAGGGACATAACTCTAGAATGGTAAAAGTGTTGCCAACTTATTTCGTACATAATCTGTATTATGTAGTAATAAGCATTGTGTATAAGTTTCATAACATTTGGTTGAGGCAAACTCAAGTTAGAGAACGGAAACAAAAAAATTGTACTTGATCTTTACAGAGTTTTGTGGTAATGAATATTGTGTATTGATTTCATAATGTTTGGCTGGGGAAAACTTCAGTTACAGTATGGAAACTAAAAATTTTGCAATCTTTCGATTTATAAAGGGGCATAACTCATTTGATTAAAGTTACACTACCCAAATTCAACTTGATCTGTTTTTTATCAGTGGAAGTAAAAATTAAACATTGCATTGTATAAAGCATTGATTGAATTGATTTAACTATAATCATGGTCAAAGGAAGATAACTCCAATTTTAAAAATATATTATATAAACTTGATATTTAGAAGAAAATAAAAATTTTGCAATTTTTCCATTTATAAAGGGACATAACTCTAGAACAGTTTAAGTGATGCCACCAAAATTCAAACTTGATCTGTGTTTTGTGGTAATAAGCATTGTGTATCAGTTTCATGACATTTGGTTGAGGCAAACTTAAGTTAGAGAACGGAAACTAAACATTTTGTAATTTTTCTTTTTATAAAGGGGCATAACTCTAGATCGGTTAAAGTGATGCCACCAAAATTCAACTTTATCTGTGTTTTGTGGTAATAAGCATTGTGTATAAGTTTCATAACATTTTGTTAAGGCAAACTAAAGTTAGAGAACGGAAACTAAACATTTTGCAATTTTTCTTTTTATAAAGGGACATAACTCTAGGTACGTTCAGACGGACAAGGGTAAAACTAAATGCCCCCTCCGCCACGACGGGGGTATAAAAAAAAATACTAGACAACTTTTCATGATTACATACCCTTCATCTATAAAACTAGTGTTGAAATGTTTGTAATTGGATTGCTATGTTAAATAATTGCTTTTAAATATTCTAAATTGTTACTTTTATGTTCCAAATGCAAAGATTGGTCATAACCAGTCTTATTTTTTCATATTTGGCACTTTTTTCTACTTCAGTTTTGGCCGTCTAGTTTTGGCGAAGAAACCATCCTGATGTTGGGGTAACAGGAATTTCTGCAGAGTGGTTGTCAATGACATTTTGTGAACTTTACAAGTAATTAAAACACAGATTTAGTAAAATGAAACATAATTGTTGTTTTTTATGGTATGAAACTGCTTAAAAAGCCTTTGAAAAGTCTTTTTGTGGTATTTTTCAGGGTATTTAATTAAAAACTTCCATATAAGGCAAAATTTAACTAAGAGTACATCAAGACTTTAGTTCCTAGATGTACTTGCAATACTGGTCAAAGCAATCACAGAAAACAATTCATATTTATTAAGCATAGTATTTTACACCATTCTTTTAAAAACAGTCAAAGTGCAACTTTATATACCAAATATACATTCAGCAATTTTTATGTTTATAAAGGGACATAACTCTAGAATGGTAAAAGTGTTGCCAACTTATTTCGTACATAATCTGTATTATGTAGTAATAAGCATTGTGTATAAGTTTCATAACATTTGGTTGAGGCAAACTCAAGTTAGAGAACGGAAACAAAAAAATTGTACTTGATCTTTACAGAGTTTTGTGGTAATGAATATTGTGTATTGATTTCATAATGTTTGGCTGGGGAAAACTTCAGTTACAGTATGGAAACTAAAAATTTTGCAATCTTTCGATTTATAAAGGGGCATAACTCAATTGATTAAAGTTATACTACCCAAATTCAACTTGATCTGTGTTTTATCAGTGGAAGTAAAAATTAAACATTGCATTGTATAAAGCATTGATTGAATTGATTTAACTATAATCATGGTCAAAGGAAGATAACTCCAATTTTAAAAATATATTATATAAACTTGATATTTAGAAGAAAATAAAAATTTTGCAATTTTTCCATTTATAAAGGGACATAACTCTAGAACAGTTTAAGTGATGCCACCAGAATTCAAACTTGATCTGTGTTTTGTGGTAAGAAGCATTGTGTATCAGTTTCATAACATTTGGTTGAGGCAAACTTAAGTTAGAGAACGGAAACTAAACATTTTGTAATTTTTCTTTTTATAAAAGGGCATAACTCTAGATCGGTTAAAGTGATGCCACCAAAATTCAAACTTGATCTGTGTTTTGTGGTAATAAGCATTGTGTATAAGTTTCGTAACATTTGGTTAAGGCAAACTTAAGTTAGAGAACGGAAACTAAACATTTTGCAATTTTTCTTTTTATAAAGGGACATAACTCTAGGTACGTTCAGACGGACAAGGGTAAAACTAAATGCCCCCTCCGCCACGACGGGGGTATAAAAAAAATACTAGACAACTTTTCATGATTACATACCCTTCATCTATAAAACTAGTGTTGAAATGTTTGTAATTGGATTGCTATGTTAAATAATTGCTTTTAAATATTCTAAATTGTTACTTTTATGTTCCAAATGCAAAGATTGGTCATAACCAGTCTTATTTTTTCATATTTGGCACTTTTTTCTACTTTAGTTTTGGCCGTCTAGTTTTGGCGAAGAAACCATCCTGATGTTGGGGTAACAGGAATTTCTGCAGAGTGGTTGTCAATGACATTTTGTGAACTTTACAAGTAATTAAAACACAGATTTAGTAAAATGAAACATAATTGTTGTTTTTTATGGTATGAAACTGCTTAAAAAGCCTTTGAAAAGTCTTTTTGTGGTATTTTTCAGGGTATTTAATTAAAAACTTCCATATAAGGCAAAATTTAACTAAGAGTACATCAAGGCTTTAGTTCCTAGATGTTCTTGCAATACTGGTCAAAGCAATCACAGAAAACAATTCATATTTATTAAGCATAGTATTTTACACCATTCTTTTAAAAACAGTCAAAGTGCAACTTTATATACCAAATATACATTGGCCAAAGTATAGGCTGAAGTATAAATTTTCCGCTATCTTTACAAGTTCAGCCTTTGTGAATGTTGTATTGAAACTGGAACTTGAAAATTAGATACATTTCATGATTAATACAAAAAAAGTAGGAAAAGAAGTTAAAAAGTCCCTTATAGGAAAATATGCACTCTGTCACTGTACTTATTCAAGGCCACACAATAATCACAAAACATTTCCTGTAAATATTAATGCAATGGAAGCCTTTTGGAATCACTTAAAGTTGTTTTTATACAAATTTCTATGTTTTACAGCGGCAATCCAGAATGCACTGAGTGTACTGTGGTAGGAAGCATGGGCATATGGTAAAAAATCAGTTTTGTGTCCAGATTGAAAGAAACAATAGAAATTACACTTGAGAGTTATGATATTAATGAAAGGCATAAATATTCTCCCCATTTTACATCACATTTTGCACATTTTTCTCCCTTTGACATATTGTATTTTTTTAGCTGTGTTCCCCATGTTAAGGCGAAGTGTACGTAATTAACTACTCCACAGAATTTTTTAAAATTTTACATGTGGATTCTGCTTGTAAAAATACATCAGTCAATAAAATAAAAAAAGGGGGTAACCGTTTTCGTTTTTCAGATACAAGCTGTTGAAATTAACAGCTTGATACGCCAAAAATACAAAGGATATATAGGGAAAATCATAAAAATCGGCTGATATTTTTACTTTATCAAGATTTTCTAATTCGTTGGTCCACAGAATTTTTTTAAAAATCGATATGCGATTCAAAAATGAACGACGAACCCATTGGTCCAAAGAAAGTCCTTAGCAACCGTGCTAGTTTTCAAGCTATATCCTGTGGAAGTTTGATTTTTAGCGGAAAAAATAAAAACATTCGGCGACGTTATTGATGTCTAGTGTAACGTCATCACAATTTCTACTCTATAACGCTATTATACCGTATGTAGTGTCGTAACAAAATCGTGAGTGTGTATAAAATTGAGAATGGAAATGGGGAATATGTCAAAGAGACAACAACCCGACCAAAGAGCAGACAACAGCCGAAGGCCACCAATGGGTCTTTAACGCAGCGAGAAAATCCCGCACCCGGAGGTGGTCCTCAGCTGGCCCCTAAATAAAATTGTGTACTAGTTCAGTGAAAATGGACGTCACACTAAACTCCAAAACATATAAATGAACTAAAATTAAAAAAACATACAAGACTAACAAAGGCCAGAGGCTCCTGACTTGGGACAGGCGCAAACATACGGCGGGGTTAAACATGTTTTGTGAGATCTCAACCCTCCCCCTATACCTCTAACAATGTAGAATAAAGAAACACATAGCAATACGCACAGTTAAACTCAGTTTAAAAGAAGTCCGAGTCCGATGTCAGAATAGGTAACAAAAGAAAATAAACAAAAAGACAATGATACATAAATTAACAAAGGACTACTAGCAGTTACTGACATGCCAGCTCCAGACCTCAGTTAAACTGATTGATAGATTATGTCTTCATCTTATGAAAATCAAGAACAATCCCTCCCGTTAGGGGTTTAGTATCATACAATCATAAAATATATGAGAAGAACATAACCCGTATCATGCCAACAACTGGTTTTAGAATAATAGTGTTTATTTCCGATGCAAAGACCCTATGAGTGAATCAATATTAATACCAAAATATGCAATCCTTAATGACCTGACAACAGTATCGTAACTATATCCTTTCCGAATAAGTCTGTTTAAAGGTTTGGTTAGCTTCTGAGGTAAATGCCGACATTTTTGTGCTTTGTAAAGAATATTACCATAAAATATTGGATGTGAAATTCCTGAACGTATAAGATGTCTACATGTTGATTTATATTTACGAATGATTTATAACCCATTTTCCTAATTATTGCAAATGCTCAAGCGTAATCAATTGATAAGGAAATAAACTGAGTATTTTTTAAGGATATTTCTGCTGCCAAAAAAAAAAAGCAAATTGGCAAATAAATATACTGCAAGTGAAAGAAAGTTACTGTATAGACTTTAACTCAATCTTTTCTTAATTTGACAGGGTTCCACATCTTTTTTTGAAATGCTTGTATTTATAGCTGACTATGGGCTTTGATCATTGTTGAAGGCCGTACGGTGACCTATAGTTGTTAATTTCTGTGTCATTTGGACTCTTGTGGAGAGTTGTCTCATTGGCAATCATACCACATCTTCTTATTTTTATATTGTATTGTTCTAATAATTATGAATCAAATATCAAGTTCGAAATTGTCCCGGTTAACACAGCGTTGACAGAATGATTCTATATGTATTTAAATAATCGGTTATAATTATCGCGTATACACGTCTTTTTTAAAATCTTATTTCTGCATGTTTGTTTTTTAAAAAAGTGAATATAATTTGCTGCTTCTTTTCATCCTCACCATTACCGGCGCTATTCGAGGTATTGCGCACAAAACATATTTTATTTGTCAGGTTCACACACGTGCACGTGACACAACTCTGCAATTTTATTTTCAAAATTTCCTGTCTCAATCGCTTTCCCTTTTCTTTAACTACACGACAAAGCATGATATAATGTTTGCTGGAGATTTTAAGTAAAAAAGGAAATAATTTCTTGTACCATTATTTGTTAAATATCCACATGCATGACTCCCAAAAAATAAGAAAACTGCATCTGCATATTATCTTTAGAATTTTTATGGCTGTAATAAGGTCAAAAGAAGAACACGCATATGAATTTTAGCAAAGTAAAACAGATCGGAGTTTTTGATATAACTTCCCGTAGCACAGATCATTCCCAGTGTTAGCCTTAACATTGTGTATATTGTGTATAATGCTATAGCATTGTGTATAGTGTAATGCTAAAGCTTTGTGCATGGTGATATGCTATAAATGTACTGGTGTTATATAATAAATGTACTGGTGTAATACTATACATGTACTGGTGTAATGCTATAAGAATGTACCAAGGGCGATGCTATACGAGTTTACCTAGTGTAGTGCCATACAAATTGTTCCTGTATATAATGCAAATGAATTGCAGTTTCTTAATATAATATGAAAATAAGGAGATGTGGTATGATTGCAAATTAGACAACTATCTGCCACAGTTTAAGGTAGACCGGGTGTCTTTTTCTGAGCGTCCGTTCTGATCATGTTGCAAAAATACTTTTTTGTTTTAAAAATATTTTACCAAGTATCATTTAATATACAACAAAATACCTTAAACTTGAAATTTAAAGATTGAACTATCAAAACATTAAGTGTCGTAAAGTATATTTAAAATTTTTGGGGATTTTTTCAAGAAAATAAGGCCCGTGACCCCCTATTTTTATTTGATATTTCGGAGTTATTAATGAAAAGCAATTCTCTCATCGAATTTTAGCCAGTTCTATTGTTTAATGTTTCCGCAATAAGGAAAACTTAAGTTTCCTCTATATTAACAATATAAAATAACCCAAATTTCGTTAATTTCAAAGTGTTATTACGAAAAAACAAGGTCCGTGATCCCCAGTTTTTGTATTGAAATTTGAAATTACATTGACCCCGAAGTCTTTTACAGAAGTTGAAGAAAAATCTATCGTCCAATATTTAGACACCCCAGCTACCTTAAATCATGTGGATGTAATTATTATAGGCAACCATACGGCCTTCAACAATGAGAAAAATCCATACCGTATGGTCGGTTATAAAAAGCCCCGACATTATAGACCCTATTTTCTTCACCCCCTCCCCCTTCTTCCCCTACCTTATACTACTGCTGAATGATACACAAAACCACAACAAAAGAAAACAAATTTCGCTATCCCTTCGAAATTGGAATTTGATAAAGAAAAAATAACACGTTCTATTTTTATCATACATGTGTAGTTTCAGTTTCAACCATGGTTCTAAATTTAGATTTTACTTTCCCAAAAAATTTTTTTTTGCTGTTGGCTTTTTCTTTGGCTTATAAATGTTGTACTAGTGGTCGATTACCCTTAGTATCTTTTATACTTTTTACATAAATAATAAAATATAAAACATCAATTGCATAAAATCGGACATGCCAACGTCTGTCTTGTTCAACACACAAATTCACATGCAATATGATTATTCGTTACCTACAATTTTACGCTACACTGAATTTCATTCAAAACTATGGTTTTTTCAAAAAAATATTGTGGGGTCAATTCTGGTTTGATTTTAATGAATTTGATACGAATAGAAGCAGAATTGTCACTGGTTTATTTGTTTATTTGGTTATAATTTTGTTGTTTAGGCGTTTTTACCTTCTGTTGAAATAAACACGAGTCGTATTGTGTACCTGCTTCTGCGGGTCTAAAACAAAAACAGTGGTAATAGAGTCAGACTAACTCACAATAGGATACTCAGATTTCTGATTGGAGTCATTATAAAAATGTCTTTGAAGTTTTGAGATAGCACATGAATACTTGTTTGGATTCATGATAGACCGCACGAAGTCATTTTTCTTTCATGTGCCCATTTTTCCTTTCTTGGAGTAGGGGAGATAACCCGCGTAACTAACGACGCACGTTTTTTATCCTGAACTCCGCTAGAGGCGTGCAATTACGTACACTTCGCCTTAAGTTGTAGATCAAGTTGTAAATAAGCACTTTTCAAGTATTTTAACACTCGAATAATCTGACCGTATGAAGATATTCATTTATTTTTACATATTCATTGCGTTTCTTTAAGAAAAAAAAAATACTAGACAACTTTTCATGATTACATACCCTTCATCTATAAAACTAGTGTTGAAATGTTTGTAATTGGATTGCTATGTTAAATAATTGCTTTTAAATATTCTAAATTGTTACTTTTATGTTCCAAATGCAAAGATTGGTCATAACCAGTCTTATTTTTTTCATATTTGGCACTTTTTTCCACTTCAGTTTTGGCGAAGAAACCATCCTGATGTTGGGGTAGCAGGAATTTCTGCAGAGTGGTTGTCAATGACATTATGTGAACTTTACAAGTAATTAAAACACAGATTTAGTAAAATGAAACATAATTGTTGTTTTTTATGGTATGAAACTGCTTAAAAAGCCTTTGAAAAGTCTTTTTGTGGTATTTTTCAGGGTATTTAATTAAAAACTTCCATATAAGGCAAAATTTAACTAAGAGTACATCAAGACTTTAGTTCCTAGATGTACTTGCAATACTGGTCAAAGCAATCACAGAAAACAATTCATATTTATTAAGCATAGTATTTTACACCATTCTTTTAAAAACAGTCAAAGTGCAACTTTATATACCAAATATACATTCAGCAATTTTTATGTTTATAAAGGGACATAACTCTAGAATGGTAAAAGTGTTGCCACCTAATTTCGTACATAATCTGTATTATGTAGTAATAAGCATTGTGTATAAGTTTCATAACATTTGGTTGAGGCAAACGCAAGTTAGAGCTAGAACGGAAACAAAAAAAATGTACTTGATCTTTACAGAGTTTTGTGGTAATGAATATTGTGTATTGATTTCATAATGTTTGGCTGGGGAAAACTTCAGTTACAGTATGGAAACTAAAAATTTTGCAATCTTTCGATTTATAAAGGGGCATAACTCAATTGATTAAAGTTATACTACCCAAATTCAACTTGATCTGTGTTTTATCAGTGGAAGTAAAAATTAAACATTGCATTGTATAAAGCATTGATTGAATTGATTTAACTATAATCATGGTCAAAGGAAGATAACTCCAATTTTAAAAATATATTATATAAACTTGATATTTAGAAGAAAATAAAAATTTTGCAATTTTTCCATTTATAAAGGGACATAACTCTAGAACAGTTTAAGTGATGCCACCAGAATTCAAACTTGATCTGTGTTTTGTGGTAATAAGCATTGTGTATCAGTTTCATAACATTTGGTTGAGGCAAACTTAAGTTAGAGAACGGAAACTAAACATTTTGTAATTTTTCTTTTTATAAAAGGGCATAACTCTAGATGGGTTAAAGTGATGCCACCAAAATTCAAACTTGATCTGTGTTTTGTGGTAATAAGCATTGTGTATAAGTTTCGTAACATTTGGTTAAGGCAAACTTAAGTTAGAGAACGGAAACTAAACATTTTGCAATTTTTCTTTTTATAAAGGGACATAACTCTAGGTACGTTCAGACGGACAAGGGTAAAACTAAATGCCCCCTCCGCCACGACGGGGGTATAAAAAAAATACTAGACAACTTTTCATGATTACATACCCTTCATCTATAAAACTAGTGTTGAAATGTTTGTAATTGGATTGCTATGTTAAATAATTGCTTTTAAATATTCTAAATTGTTACTTTTATGTTCCAAATGCAAAGATTGGTCATAACCAGTCTTATTTTTTCATATTTGGCACTTTTTTCTACTTTAGTTTTGGCCGTCTAGTTTTGGCGAAGAAACCATCCTGATGTTGGGGTAACAGGAATTTCTGCAGAGTGGTTGTCAATGACATTTTGTGAACTTTACAAGTAATTAAAACACAGATTTAGTAAAATGAAACATAATTGTTGTTTTTTATGGTATGAAACTGCTTAAAAAGCCTTTGAAAAGTCTTTTTGTGGTATTTTTCAGGGTATTTAATTAAAAACTTCCATATAAGGCAAAATTTAACTAAGAGTACATCAAGACTTTAGTTCCTAGATGTACTTGCAATACTGGTCAAAGCAATCACAGAAAACAATTCATATTTATTAAGCATAGTATTTTACACCATTCTTTTAAAAACAGTCAAAGTGCAACTTTATATACCAAATATACATTCAGCAATTTTTATGTTTATAAAGGGACATAACTCTAGAATGGTAAAAGTGTTGCCACCTAATTTCGTACATAATCTGTATTATGTAGTAATAAGCATTGTGTATAAGTTTCATAACATTTGGTTGAGGCAAACTCAAGTTAGAGAACGGAAACAAAAAAAATGTACTTGATCTTTACAGAGTTTTGTGGTAATGAATATTGTGTATTGATTTCATAATGTTTGGCTGGGGAAAACTTCAGTTACAGTATGGAAACTAAAAATTTTGCAATCTTTCGATTTATAAAGGGGCATAACTCAATTGATTAAAGTTATACTACCCAAATTCAACTTGATCTGTGTTTTATCAGTGGAAGTAAAAATTAAACATTGCATTGTATAAAGCATTGATTGAATTGATTTAGCTATAATCATGGTCAAAGGAAGATAACTCCAATTTTAAAAATATATTATATAAACTTGATATTTAGAAGAAAATAAAAATTTTGCAATTTTTCCATTTATAAAGGGACATAACTCTAGAACAGTTTAAGTGATGCCACCAGAATTCAAACTTGATCTGTGTTTTGTGGTAATAAGCATTGTGTATCAGTTTCATAACATTTGGTTGAGGCAAACTTAAGTTAGAGAACGGAAACTAAACATTTTGTAATTTTTCTTTTTATAAAAGGGCATAACTCTAGATGGGTTAAAGTGATGCCACCAAAATTCAAACTTGATCTGTGTTTTGTGGTAATAAGCATTGTGTATAAGTTTCGTAACATTTGGTTAAGGCAAACTTAAGTTAGAGAACGGAAACTAAACATTTTGCAATTTTTCTTTTTATAAAGGGACATAACTCTAGGTACGTTCAGACGGACAAGGGTAAAACTAAATGCCGCCTCCGCCACGGCGGGGGCATAAAAAAAAATACTAGACAACTTTTCATGATTACATACCCTTCATCTATAAAACTAGTGTTGAAATGTTTGTAATTGGATTGCTATGTTAAATAATTGCTTTTAAATATTCTAAATTGTTACTTTTATGTTCCAAATGCAAAGATTGGTCATAACCAGTCTTATTTTTTCATATTTGGCACTTTTTTCTACTTCAGTTTTGGCCGTCTAGTTTTGGCGAAGAAACCATCCTGATGTTGGGGTAACAGGAATTTCTGCAGAGTGGTTGTCAATGACATTTTGTGAACTTTACAAGTAATTAAAACACAGATTTAGTAAAATGAAACATAATTGTTGTTTTTTATGGTATGAAACTGCTTAAAAAGCCTTTGAAAAGTCTTTTTGTGGTATTTTTCAGGGTATTTAATTAAAAACTTCCATATAAGGCAAAATTTAACTAAGAGTACATCAAGACTTAAGTTCCTAGATGTACTTGCAATACTGGTCAAAGCAATCACAGAAAACAATTCACATTTATTAAGCATAGTATTTTACACCATTCTTTTAAAAACAGTCAAAGTGCAACTTTATATACCAAATATACATTCAGCAATTTTTATGTTTATAAAGGGACATAACTCTAGAATGGTAAAAGTGTTGCCACCTAATTTCGTACATAATCTGTATTATGTAGTAATAAGCATTGTGTATAAGTTTCATAACATTTGGTTGAGGCAAACTCAAGTTAGAGAACAGAAACAAAAAAATTGTACTTGATCTTTACAGAGTTTTGTGGTAATGAATATTGTGTATTGATTTCCTAATGTTTGGCTGGGGAAAACTTCAGTTACAGTATGGAAACTAAAAATTTTGCAATCTTTCGATTTATAAAGGGGCATAACTCATTTGATTAAAGTTACACTTCCCAAATTCAACTTGATCTGTGTTTTATCAGTGGAAGTAAAAATTAAACATTGCATTGTATAAAGCATTGATTGAATTGATTTAACTATAATCATGGTCAAAGGAAGATAACTCCAATTTTAAAAATATATTATATAAACTTGATATTTAGAAGAAAATAAAAATTTTGCAATTTTTCCATTTATAAAGGGACATAACTCTAGAACAGTTTAAGTGATGCCACCAAAATTCAAACTTGATCTGTGTTTTGTGGTAATAAGCATTGTGTATCAGTTTCATAACATTTGGTTGAGGCAAACTTAAGTTAGAGAACGGAAACTAAACATTTTGTAATTTTTCTTTTTATAAAGGGGCATAACTCTAGATCGGTTAAAGTGATGCCACCAAAATTCAAACTTGATCTGTGTTTTGTGGTAATAAGCCACGGCGGGGGCATAAAAAAAAATACTAGACAACTTTTCATGATTACATACCCTTCATCTATAAAACTAGTGTTGAAATGTTTGTAATTGGATTGCTATGTTAAATAATTGCTTTTAAATATTCTAAATTGTTACTTTTATGTTCCAAATGCAAAGATTGGTCATAACCAGTCTTATTTTTTCATATTTGGCACTTTTTTCTACTTTAGTTTTGGCCGTCTAGTTTTGGCGAAGAAACCATCCTGATGTTGGGGTAACAGGAATTTCTGCAGAGTGGTTGTCAATGACATTTTGTGAACTTTACAAGTAATTAAAACACAGATTTAGTAAAATGAAACATAATTGTTGTTTTTTATGGTATGAAACTGCTTAAAAAGCCTTTGAAAAGTCTTTTTGTGGTATTTTTCAGGGTATTTAATTAAAAACTTCCATATAAGGCAAAATTTAACTAAGAGTACATCAAGACTTTAGTTCCTAGATGTACTTGCAATACTGGTCAAAGCAATCACAGAAAACAATTCATATTTATTAAGCATAGTATTTTACACCATTCTTTTAAAAACAGTCAAAGTGCAACTTTATATACCAAATATACATTCAGCAATTTTTATGTTTATAAAGGGACATAACTCTAGAATGGTAAAAGTGTTGCCACCTAATTTCGTACATAATCTGTATTATGTAGTAATAAGCATTGTGTATAAGTTTCATAACATTTGGTTGAGGCAAACTCAAGTTAGAGAACGGAAACAAAAAAATTGTACTTGATCTTTACAGAGTTTTGTGGTAATGAATATTGTGTATTGATTTCATAATGTTTGGCTGGGGAAAACTTCAGTTACAGTATGGAAACTAAAAATTTTGCAATCTTTCGATTTATAAAGGGGCATAACTCAATTGATTAAAGTTACACTACCCAAATTCAACTTGATCTGTGTTTTATCAGTGGAAGTAAAAATTAAACATTGCATTGTATAAAGCATTGATTGAATTGATTTAACTATAATCATGGTCAAAGGAAGATAACTCCAATTTTAAAAATATATTATATAAACTTGATATTTAGAAGAAAATAAAAATTTTGCAATTGTTCCATTTATAAAGGGACATAATTCTAGAACAGTTTAAGTGATGCCACCAAAATTCAAACTTGATCTGTGTTTTGTGGTAATAAGCATTGTGTATCAGTTTCATAACATTTGGTTGAGGCAAACTTAAGTTAGAGAACGGAAACTAAACATTTTGTAATTTTTCTTTTTATAAAGGGGCATAACTCTAGATCGGTTAAAGTGATGCCACCAAAATTCAAACTTGATCTGTGTTTTGTGGTAATAAGCATTGTGTATAAGTTTCATAACATTTGGTTAAGGCAAACTTAAGTTAGAGAACGGAAACTAAACATTTTGCAATTTTTCTTTTTATAAAGGGACATAACTCTAGGTACGTTCAGACGGACAAGGGTAAAACTAAATGCCCCCTCCTCCACGGCGGGGGCATAAAAAAAATACTAGACAACTTTTCATGATTACATACCCTTCATCTATAAAACTAGTGTTGAAATGTTTGTAATTGGATTGCTATGTTAAATAATTGCTTTTAAATATTCTAAATTGTTACTTTTATGTTCCAAATGCAAAGATTGGTCATAACCAGTCTTATTATTTCATATTTGGCACTTTTTTCTACTTCAGTTTTGGCCGTCTAGTTTTGGCAAAAGAAACCATCCTGATGTTGGGGTAACAGGAATTTCTGCAGAATGGTTGTCAATGACATTTTGTGAACTTTACAAGTAATTAAAACACAGCTTTAGTAAAATGAAACATTATTGTTGTTTTTTATGGTATGAAACTGCTTAAAAAGCCTTTGAAAAGTCTTTTTGTGGTATTTTTCAGGGTATTTAAGTAAAAACTTCCATATTAGGCAAAATTTAACTAAGAGTACATCAAGACTTTAGTTACTAGATGTACTTGCAATACTGGTCAAAGCAAACACAGAAAACAATTCATATTTATTAAGCTTAGTATTTTACACCATTCTTTTAAAAACAGTCAAAGTGCAACTTTATATACCAAATATACATAGGCCGCAGTATGGGCTGTAGTATAAATTTTCCGCTATCTTTACAAGTTCAGCCTTTATGAATGTTGTATTGAAACTGGAACTTGAAAGTTAGATACATTTCATGATTAATACAAAAAAAGTAGGAAAAGAAGTTAAAAAGTCCCTTATAGGAAAATATGCACTCTGTCACTGTACTTATTCAAGGCCACACAATAATCTCAAACCTCATTTCCTGTAAATATTAATGCAATGGAAGCCTTTTGGAACCACTTAAAGTTGTTTTTATACAAATTTCTATGTTTAACTGCGGCAATCCAGAATGCACTGAGTGTACTGTGGTAGGAAGCATGGGCATATGGTAAAAAATCAGTTTTGTATCCAGATTGAAAGAAACAATAGAAATTACACTTGAGAGTTATGATATTAATGAAAGGCATAAATATTCTCCCCATTTTACATCACCTTTTGCACATTTTTCTCCTAATAATGTGTAAAATCATATTGAAAATCAGAATTACCTCCCTTTGACATATTGTATTTTTTTAGCTGTGTTCCCCATGTTAAGTTGTAGATCAAGTTGTAAATATGCACTTTTCAAGTATTTTAACACTCGAATAATCTGACCGTATGAAGATATTCATTTATTTTTACATAATTCATTGCGTTTCTTTAAGTAAAAAAAAATACTAGACAATTTTTCATGATTACATACCCTTCATCTATAAAACTAGTGTTGAAATGTTTGTAATTGGATTGCTATGTTAAATAGTTGCTTTTAAATATTCTAAATTGTTACTTTTATTTTCCAAATGCAAAGATTGGTCATAACCAGTCTTATTTTTTTCATATTTGGCACTTTTTAAGACTTATTGTTTTTAAGACTTATTGTTTTTGCTCAGTTCTTATTATTATTATTAATATGTCACCCGATCGACAATGTCGGATATCATATTGCTTTTCCTCTGTTTCTTTGTTATTAAGTCGCCAAAATGGAGTTTTGGGGACTTTATGTTTTTGTCCCGTTTCTTATTATGATTATGGCACCCTCAACGAAGTTGGGGTGACATATTGTTATTCTACGTTTCTTTTTTTTCTTATTTTTATTATTATGGCACCCTCAACGGAGTTGGGGTGACACACCATTGTTATTCTTCGTTTCTTTTATTTCTTTTTATTATTATGTCACCCGATAGACAATGTCGGGTGACATGTTGCTTTTCCTCCGTTTCTTTTTTTTTATTATTATGGCACCCTCAACGGAGTTGGGGTGACATACTGTTATTCTACGTTTCTTTTTTTTTCTTATTTTTCTTCCACACATTTTGTCCGCGCGAGTTCTTGGAATCCAAAGGACCAATGTTGATGGAACTCTACTATAATGAGGACCCCCATGTAAAGTTGTGCACCTTGCTATGGAATGGTAAAAAATGGCCGCCGTTTCCATGGAAACAGCAAAAATGCGAAACAAATCAAAGTGTTCCAAACTGAAAGAAGCTCCACAGGAATGGGAACTGGCATGTGCTGATTTGCAGTTTGACTTCGGAATTTTCAAAATGGCTGCCGTTACCATGGAAACAGCTAAAGTATCAAAAACTCTAACTCTTCCGTTATAAGACCAAACTGGATGAAACTTTATGAAAATGTTACCCAGTTTGCCAAGATGCCAACACAATATTTGGATACTCCAAAATGGCCGCCGTTGTCATAGAAACTAGGGGCAAGTTTAACATTGACCCTATGGGAAAATGCATAAAATCAGCATTTTCTTAAAGAGTATTTCACCAAAGTCAATGAAACTGTATTGATATATAACATGACATGTGGCAATGAGATGTCTGCTTTTAGAATTTTGGAATTATCCGCTGTAATCATGGCTGCAGCATAAATGTCCAAAATTTCAAAAAAAATCAAAATGCTGCAAACTGGATGAAACTTTACAGAAATGGTAACTGGCATAGGCAGAGTTGCATTTTAAAGTTGGAATTTTCAAAATGGCCGTTGTAACCATGGAAACAGCAAAAATGTCAAAAATTTCAAAATGCTCCAAACTTAATGAAACTTTACAAAAAGGATAATTTGCATGTGTAGATGCACTCTTTGACTTTGGAATTTTTTAAATGGCTGCCACTCACCTGGCAACGGGGGAAGAGTGCCATCCGCTATTGCTTGCAATTGCAAATCTAGTTATGGCACCCTCAACGGAGTTGGGGTGACATACTGTTATTCTACGTTTCTTTTTTTTCTTATTTTTCTTCCACACATTTTGTCCGCGCGAGTTCTTGGAATCCAATGGGCCAATGTTGATGGAACTCTGCTATAATGAGGACCTCCATGTAAAGTTGTGCACCTTGCTATGGAATGGTAAAAAATGGCCGCCGTTTCCATGGAAACAGCAAATATGCGAAAAAAATCAAAGTGTTCCAAATTGAAAGAAACTCCACAGTAATGTTAACTGGCATGTGCTGATTTGCAGTTTGACTTTGGAATTTTCAAAATGGCTGCCGTTACCATGGAAACAGCTAAATATCAAAAATTCTGACTCTTTCGTTATAAGACCCAACTGGATGAAACTTTATGAAAATGTTACCCAGTATGCTAAGATGTCAAGACAATATTTGGATAGTCAAAATGGCCGCCGTTGTCATGAAAACATGGGGCAAGTTTTACATTGACCCTATGGGAAAATGCATAAAATCAGCATTTTCTTAAAGAGTATTTCACCAAAGTCAGTGAAACTGTATTGATATATAACATGACATATGTCAATGAGATGTCTGCTTTTAGAATTTTGGAATTATCCACTGTAACCATGGAAACAGCAAAAATGTCCAAAATTTCAAAAAAAATCAAAATGCTGCAAACTGAATGAAACTTTACAGAAATCGTAACTGGCATAGGCAGAGTTGCATTTTGAAGTTGGAATTTTCAAAATGGCCGCCGTAACCATGGAAACAGCAAAAATGTCCAAAATTTCAAAATGCTTCAAACTTATTGAAACTTTACAAATGGATAATTTGCATGTGTAAATGCACTCTTTGACTTTGGAATTTTCTAAATGGCTGCCGCTCACCTGGCAATGGGGAAAGGGTGCCATCCGTTATTGCTAGCAATTACAAATCTAATTATTATTATTATTCTTCTTAACCCTAATTTGTCCGACCATTTTCTTCCAAGCCTTAAATGATGGAAACTTTATATTTGGTATGATGTTGGGGTAGTATCCCTAGGGATGCATTCACTTTTTTTATTTCAAATATGAATCAACTTGGCACTATTTGGGGGCCGGAACATGGGTGGGGTCATTTTTCGAATATGGATTCGCTACTGGTAGAACCTTTAAGTTTTGTGTAATACAAGAGACCGATGTCCAGGTGTCCATTCCACATTTTTAGCTCACCTGACCTGAAAGGTCAAGTGAGCTTTTCTCATCACTTTGCATCCGTCGTCCGTCGTCCGTAAACTTTTACAAAAATCTTCTCCTCTGAAACTACTTGGCCAAATTTAACCAAACTTGGCCACAATCATCATTGGGGTATTTAGTTTAAAAAATGTGTCCGGTGACCCGGCCAACCAACCAAGATGGCCGCCATAGCTAAAAATAGAACATAGGGGTAAAATGTAGATTTTGGCTTATATCTCTGAAACCAAAGCATTTAGAGCAAATCTGACATGGGGTAAAATTGTTTATCAGGTAAAGATCTATCTGCCTTGAAATTTTCAGATGAATCGAACAGCCAGTTGTTGGGTTGCTGCCCCTGAATTGGTAATTTAAAGGAAATTTTGCCGTTTTTGGTTATCTTGAATATTATTATAGATAGAGATAAACTGTAAACAGCAATAATGTTCAGCAAAGTAAGATCTACAAATAAGACAACTTGACCAAAATGGTCAGTTGACCCCTTAAGGAGTTATTGCCCTTTATAGTCAATTTTTAACCATTTTTCGTAAATTTTTGTAATCTTTTACAAAAATCTTCTCCTCTGAAACTATTAAGACAAATTTAACCAAACTTGTCCACAATCATCATTAGGGTATCTAGTTTAAAAAATGTGTCCGATGACCCGCCCGCGAACCAAGATGGCCGACATGGCTAAAAAATAGTACATAGGGTAAAATGCAGTTTTTGGCTCATATCTCTGAAACCAAAGCATTTAGAGCAAATTTGACGAGGATAAAATTGTTCATTAGGTCAAGATCTATCTGCCCTGAAATTTTCAGACCAATCAGGCAACACGTTGTTGGGTTGCTGCCCCTGAATTGGTAATTTTAAGAAAATTTTGCAGCTTTTGGTTATTATCTTGAATATTATTATAGATAGAGATAAACTGTAAACAGCAATAATGTACAGCAAAGTAAGATCTACAAATAAGTCAACATGACCAAAATTGTCAATTGACCCCTTAAGGAATTATTGCCCTTTATAGTCAATTTTTTACAATTTTCATAAATTTTGTAAATTTTTGTAAATTTTTACAAAATATTTTCCACTGTAACTACTGGGCCAAGTTCATTATAGATAGAGATAATTGTTAGCAGCAAGAATGTTCAGTAAAGTAAGATCTACAAACACATCACCATCACCAAAACACAATTTTGTCATGAATCCATCTATGTCCTTTGTTTAATATGCACATAGACCAAGGTGAGCGACACAGGCTCTTTAGAGCCTCTAGTTTATTTCAGCCCGGGGTCATCTTGGCATTATTTTAGGGGGTCAATTTTCATGGA